TTAATTGGTTGACAACAACATACTATATATAGGGTAATTTCAAAAATTTTCGAACAAAAAAAGTATTATTTTCAATTTTTTAAATTTGACGTATATTTTCTTAATTATTTATCCGATTTTAATCGTTTAGTCCCCAATATTTTATTTAAAATATTACATTTTTAACGTGAGAATGATGAAATCAAACAACGTCCTTTAGTCAAGGATATCTCAAAAAATTTAACTTCCATTTTCTTTATTCCTTCACATAAGATTGCTTATTGTGTACTCAACAATATATAAGATACTAGCTCGCTGCCCGCTACTTCGTTAGCGATACATTTTTGGTTTTAAATCAAGGAGTAATTTGTATATCTTTAATAGAAAATTTATATATTTTACCTCATAATGTTTAAATTAATTTTATCATCCCATCATAAATATGGATCGAGTTAATAATATTTAGATATAATTAAATTACCTTGTTATTTTTTGAAGTTTTTTATTGATTATATTCCAAAAGATCTTTAATCTTGAATTAATAGTTGTCTTTCTACCTTTAAAGTATTTGATATTTGTTGCATTTATAAGATAAGTTTGACTTAAATGAAACTTGCAAATTGATAATACTTGTATCTTCATAAAAATAATTTGTTTTTAAGGCATTACATGATGGTTTTTTCAACGGTTTTTCATTGTCTCATATTACTTATTCATTTTTGTTCTTTTTAAAAAGATCATTTTGCTAGAGAAACGGACATTGAACAAATTAAGCCATAAATAAATACTATTCTATTTTTATAAATATAACAGATTTTAAGCACTTACTTTATGTATTTGTAATTTCACTCGAAAGAAAATATGGTTTTATAATTTAGTTTGAATGTAATATTTCATTAACAAACAGTGGCTTCTAATTATTGATTTGTTACTTAATTGTGAATTAAAATCGATTATATTCAAAATGATAATTGAATAGTGCTAGTGTTTACTTTTTTAATTCCTTGATGGGAGTAATTGAGATGTTCCTATAGAATTATTTATTATTTTCTATTGTTACATTATAAATTAAAAAGAACCTTACCTAATTCCATTTGTAAGTTGCCTTGGTAGTACTTTTATTTTGAAAGTTCCAATTTGACAGTTGGGATTATTAACAGTGGCTTGGTTTGTTTTAAGGCGGTAGTTGATGGTAGTCATTGGAATGATATTTTAAATTATTTTTAACGAATTTTCAGCATAGGAAAGTTGTTAACGACAAAGAATCACCAAACACGAAGGACTTCATTTCACTTATGCTGGGGGTAAGTAGAAGGTATTTGCGTTATTTTGTAAGTTGGCTAAGTTGTTAACGACAACGAAGAATTTCTTGATAGACTTAGTAGTTTTTGGGTGAATATTGGGTACATTAAGATATTAGTTAGTGGTACTAATTGAAACAAGTTAGAGTGCTATATTCGGCTGAGCCGAATCTTAAATACCCTCCACCAGCTACTTTTATATTAATACTTTTCTAATTGATCAAATATTTGTACAAATAAGTCTTCTCATGTCTTAAATAGAAAAATCCCAAGATTTTTCTATTTAAGACTTAGATCTATTACAATTCCAAGATTTATTGAACATTATAAACGCCATTTTCTTTTATATTTTTATAGTGCTTAGCAATATTTAATAATTTGCATGTATGCATGTGTGTGAAAGATTTAAGGATTTTGAAAATACATACATATATATAATTTTGTTCTACACAAATTGATAATGCAAATAGTTAAATAAGGTTAAAGCGCTTTTAGGAGCAGTTCCTAGTATGGGAGATAAGATCAATTATAGACCAATCGTAAAAAATTCTTTAAGCAAAATTTCTGTACATAAAAGCTATATTTCAGTCAAATTTTGTATCTATATCGTAATTTAGTATAGCTTTATTTGGTAATGAGTAATGTGCGTTTAAGAGATTTTCGTAAAAGGACCTCGTATGGGGGCTATTACCAATTATGTATATAAAGACAAAATTTCAAAATTCTGTATCTATATTATTATTTGGTAATGAATATTGTTCATCTAAGTGATTTTCTGGAGGGGACCTAGAGCTATGACCATATATGGACCGATCGGGAAAAAATCACAGTAATATTTCTATGCATATGGGCAATACTTGTACCAAATTTTATATAGATATCTTAATTTAGTAATGAGTTATGCGCGTTTAAGTGATTTTCGGGCGGGGACCTTTTATGGGAGCTATGACCAATTATGGACCGATCGGAAAAAACTTTCAGAGTAATATTTCTATACATATGGGCAATACTAATACCAAATTTTATATGGATATCTTAATTTAGTAATGAGTTATGCGCGTTTAAGTGATTTTCGGGAGGGGACCTTGTATGGGAGCTATGACCAATTATGGACCGATCGGAAAAAACTTTCACAGTAATATTTCTATGCATATGGGAAATACTTATATCAAATTTTATATGGATATCTTAATTAAGTAATGAGTTATGCGCGTTTAAGTGATTTTCGGGAGGGGACCTTGTATGGGAGCTATGACCAAATATGGACCGATCGGAAAAAGCTTTCAGAGTAATATTTCTATGCATATGGGCAATACTTATACCAAATTTTATATGGATATCTTAATTTAGTAATGAGTTATGCGCGTTTAAGTGTTTTTCGGGAGGGGACCTTGTATCGGAGCTACGACCAATTATGGACCGATCGGGAAAAATTTTCACAGTAACATTTCTGTGCATATGAGTAATACTTATACCAAATTTTATATGGATATCTTAATTTAGTAATGAGGTATGCGCGTTTAAGTGATTTTCGGGAGGGGACCTTGTATGGGAGCTATGACCAATTATGGACCGATTGGGAAGAAATTTCACAGTAACATTTCTGTGCATATGAGTAATACTTATACCAAATTTTATATGGATATCTTAATTTAGTAGTGAGCTATGCGCGTTTAAGTGATTTTCGGGAGGGGACCTTGTATGGGAGCTATGACCAATTATGGACCGATCGGGAAAAAATTTCACAGTAACATTTTTGTGTATATGAGTATTACTTATACCAAATTTTATATGGATATCTTAATTTAGTAATGAGCTATGCGCGTTTAAGTGATTTTCGGGAGGGAACCTTGTATGGGAGCTATGTCCAATTATGGACCGAGCCAGAAAATTTTTTCTTTGAATGAATTCAATTGACATAAGATTTCAATTTGTAAAGTTTTGTGAAGATATCAACATTCTGACGTAAGTTATTAACAAAAAACCCATTTTCCGGGAATATGTACTTTTGTATGGGAGGTATATGAAATTGTGGTCCGATTCTGGCAATTTTCAGCAGGGATCAAGCTCTTGTGTAAAGACGAATGTATGGTGATTTTCATGGAATTGCCTTGCATAGTTTTCGAGAAAATTACATCAGAATGTGTAAAAAATGCTTATTTTTTTCGGAGTTGTTTTAAATTTTGATTCATAACTTTTCCCGATGTGAACCGATTTTGCTCATTTTCAATACCAAACTGTACCGGATAATAGTGAATATTTTGGGTGAATTTGGTTAAATTATATTGCTTCGTTTTAACGTGAGCGTGTTTTACACAGACAGACAGACGGACGGACGGACGGACAGACGGACATAGCTAAATCGACTCAGAATTTGATAAGGACTTTGTTGGGTCGCAGATGAATATTTCTTGGTGTTACACACGGAAAGACAAAGTTATATATACCCTCTATCACCACTGATGGTGGTGGAGGGTATAAAAATATTTTCAACAGTTTTTCAGTATGAGCACGTTCTGCACGATAATACTGATATTACTAAATACGAAGGATGTTTTTTAATAAATAATTTCTTTATGGACCACATCAGAGATTTTTGGGTAATGGGAGTGAATAATTGGAAGTTTGGCATTTTTTCCTATAACATACTATTATTTTTCATTAGATGGTTAAATATGTCAGATTATATATTTAAAAACCTTACCTTAAGTTTACTTGAAATAAAATGGAAGTATAACTTACAGTTTGACTTTAGGGATTCATTAGCAATAGCTTGCGATAATGATTTGAGTTAGGATATTTGAATTATTTAATATAGGTAAGTTCTTAACGGCAAATGTAACCAAACACAATAGAATTCTCTTAACGAAAAATTTTCTATAGACCACATTAATAGTTTTTGGGCGATGTGAGTAAGTAATTAGGAGGTTAGATTTTCTCTATGGAATTAGATTTACTATTTTCCGTTGGATGTTAAAAATATGATGAAACAATATATATTAAAAAACCTTACCTTATTCAATTTGTGTTGACTTGGAAGGAAATTGGATTTGAAAAGTTCAATTTGGCTTTAGAATTCATTAAAAGTGGCGTTTGGTATAGATTTGTTTTAATACTTGAAATATATTTTCAGTATATGTAAGTTGTAAACGTCAAAGATTAGATCACCACACATAAAGAAAATCTTTTAACGAAGAACTTCTTTATATACAACGTTAGTGGTTTTTCCGTCAGATGTAAGGAAATATAAACATTTGGGGGAACTTACTCTTGAGCATGCGACATAAAATTGAACATGTGAGAAACACTCGTCGGTTAAGTCTACACCGGCAACTTTTAAGGTCTGTCCTTGGGATTTATTTATTGTAACGGCGAATGATATTTTAAGCGGAAACTGTAGTCGTTTAAATTCAAATGGATAATTGGATGTTTTGAGCTATATACGTGGTATAAAAACTGTATCTCCTTTAGCATAGCCTGTTAAAATGGTTGCCTCTATAACATTTTTAGAGCTTTTATACACAAACGTGTTCCGTTGCAAAGTTTTGGAGGGTTTAAGTCTCGTAACAGCATAATAGGAGTTCTAATTTTTAAAATAATTTTATGATTTGGAAATCCTGGTGGATTTAAAGAATTTAGGAACTCTACAGGATAGTGTATTGCATCTTCTGCTTGTATAACTGAGTCTATTGAGTTATAATCCATTTTAGGAGAATCAAATTAATTCAACAAATTGTCATTAATTGCTGCAGCTCTATCATTTTTAGGTGTCAAGATTGCACGTTCACATAACCAGTCATTTGTTTTTTTGTTGATATTGCATATATCAGGGTATATCTTAGCCGTTAACTCAGACAATGTATTTACTACTACGCCAAGCTCTAAAGGTATAATCAGTTTACCTTCAACCTGAGGATAATTTCCGTTACCAATTTTTAATAGTATTTCAGAAAATTGTGCTGCAGAGTTATCTCTTCTCAGATGGACGCGCATATTTTCATGGAGTGAAAGCTTTAATGTATGCTGCCATAGATTCGATGACTTAATGCAAGCTTTGACTTCATCAGCTCTGGTTCCTCTTGGCACAACTGGAAGTGTTTGGCGAAAATCTCCAGCTAATAATACAGTAATTCCTCCCATAATATCGTTGTTTGACCTTATATCTTTTAATGACCTATTTAAAGCTTCAAATCCTCATTTATGGGCCATTGTACTTTCATCCCAGACAATAAGTTTACATTGTTTCAATACGTATGCCAAATTACTTTGCTTTGAGATATTACATATTGGAGTTTCTAACTGCTGTATATCGAGAGGAATTTTAAATGTTGAATGGGCAGTTTTTCCTCCGATTAATAATGTAGCTGCAATACCTGATGATGCTACTGCCAACGCAATATCACCATGACTACGCACTTTTGTTAGAAGAAGATTTATTAAATATGTTTTTCCTGTACCACCTGGGGCGTCAAGAAATATTAGTTCACACATTCGATGCTGCTAATGACTTGATCGTATACTACTTGCTGATCATTTGTTAGAGAAGAATGTGCATTAACCACCTCTTGTTGCAATTCAGTCACATTATAGTTTGTTTCAGCTAGGTATTCTCTGTTAGCCACCACATTATTCAATCTTGATGCTTTTGGCATTCCATACTCCTCTAAATTTTGACTACCAATAGAAAGAACTGTGTCTTCAATCAAAACCAAACACCTTCTATATACTTCATCCATTGTTAAGATTGATTCGATCTCAAGCATTCTCTTTATATTCTCTGATAAATTGTCTTTGTGTTTATCCCAGAGACTTGCTGCATTAGACAACTGGCAATTAACCAACATAAAGGCAAAAAGATCACACAAACCTGCTTCTTCTAGTGCATTATCCCAATGTTTATCATCCTCTAGCAATCCTAAAGCCAAACAGGCAGAATGGAAAGTAAGATGCTCTACACCATTTACAGTCTTTAAGTCTACAAATGATGTAGGACCTTTAACCACATGTAAAAGTAGTCTGAGGTAGAAGCACTCAGTATTGTTTGAATGAATTGTAAACACCCGTCCCAATACATCGTCTTTTCTAATATCTTCCCATCCCTCGATGCGTTTACCACGTTTTATTCTTTCGAATTTATTGTTTTTTAGAACGTAGTATGATGGAATTTCAGTATATACACAATTCGAAAAAAGACAAAAGTGTCGTTTAAGGAGGATTTTCTACTTGTTGTAATATGTTGCTGGAGTTAAAATACACATGCTGTCCGTTTTCTAGCTGAACTGCAAGATGATATACGGGGGGATATCTTTCATGAATTGGGAATGCGAATATTCTCCAAACCGCCTCAGAGGAACTAATATAGCGACCTGATTCGTACATTTTTATTTCATCTTTATCATTTTCTAAAGCAAAAGCAGCTTGATCGCCTCCCGTATTTACATACTTGCAAATATATTTGATGGACTTTACGGAGTTGCAAATCTCAACATTAATGTGTGCTCCAAAATGCGCAATAAAACTGGATTATATGGAACTACCCAACGGTCGTCAACCACCATTTCTTTAATCCCGACAGTGAAGCCTCCATCTTCCGTTGATCTTCTTCGATATTTCGGATAACCATGATCTCTTGTCTGTGTTTCATTTAATAGTGATCGAGGATAATGTTTGCTACATGCACCTTCCTTCATACATGGAGAATAGTTATTGAATGCACCACATGGCCCATGAATCATATTAGTTTTTACTATTTCGTGTAAAGTGGGATCTGTATATGGGTTTGGTATTTCTGCGCTAATAACATTGTCTATCATATTAGATTTAATACGACATTCCATATAAAGCATCGTACATTTCCGAGTATGTGTCCTTTTGTTAAGAGAGCCATTAACTTTTTTTATTTTGAGGTGAAATACTCTTGATATAATATCGTGGCGGTCTTGGGGCTTCTGGGATGGCAGAATTGCATTTGCAATATCTTGCCATTTGGGGTTGTATGTAAAAGTGATAAATAAATCAGGTCGACCATAATGACGAACATATGTCATGGCATCTAGTGTTTTCTCATGTATATAGCGAGGACCACCTGTAAAAGTTGATGGAAGTACTACTACCCGTCCAATTTCTGCAGCATTAGTGTCTTGTCTTCCTAAAGCGTCTCATAACTGAACGTAATTTTCTGATCTGAGTTCTTTTTGATGATTTCGTATGAAATTTAATCTTTCGGTCTCAATTTTTGCATACATATCAACTAAGAATTGACTAAAGAGGGAGCGGTAGCGAAAAATATAATCACATTCATTATCTCGAATCATCAAGCGATATGCGTAGTAGCTTGCTGCAGACACTGTCTTTTTAGGGATTGGAAGTTTTGTTATGGGGTCTCGTAAAGGAATATTTATAGAATATCCATCTTCGCCTCTGCAGAACATAAGTGGATATTGTAAAGCATCATAGGAACGATGAATCTCACTTATTCTTTGCAATTGATTATCATGGCTTTTGATTATAATATCCCTTTTTTCAAACTGCTGACCTACAAATACTAACGCTACCTCTCTACATGTCGGTGCATTGAAACGACCTGAATGAGATTCCGCTGGTTTTTTATCAGCATTGATAATTACATCAAATGATTCACATTGTTGTGGAACATTTTCAATTGTTGTCTTAAAATCCCTTATTAATTGGTTTACTTCGTGCATCATTCTTTGTAGTTGTTTAACCAATCCTTGTTTTGTTTCAGGAAAGTTCTGACATCTTAAATTTGCTTCTCTTTCATCTTCATCAACAAAATATATTTGCAAGAACTGTGGATTTTCATGTAAAGGCAATAAACTTCCCACCAGGTGATAAACTTGACCTTGCACTTTAAAAGTCGGCATGAAGGCATCTTGGAAAATATGCCTTGCTCCAAATGACGTCATTTGAAAGCAACCATCGTATTTTCTTATATTGTTCATGAAGTGCTTATGTTCAGGGTGGTTGTCCATTAGTAAACTGTGGAGTAAATCAGGTTGGTTTCCTAATGCTTCTTTCCCTCCATTGCAGCACATTCCAGATGATTCATCTTTCCACTTTAGAGCGTTACAATTCTTGCACTTAGTGTTCATTTTTCCAATATCTATAGTTTGGTCAATTTCATAGTAAATGTCAGGATTGTATTCCATAGCAGAATTTACTTTAATTCTCCATGGAAGCGACCGTTGTTCTCTATATTGTGTTTGGTTTATTCTATGAGAATTTGGGTTGTTTTGTTGGTATGTGGCCACTGCTGCTCTATGAGTTTGAGGGTGTCTCTTTTTAGAGGCTGACGCAACTGCTCTGTGTTGCTCTGGATTTTGTGCCTGATAGAACGCCACTGCTTCTCTATGAGCTTCTGGATTGTTTTCCTGATATTTTGCCGCAGCATCTCTATGTATTTCAGTTTTTTTTTTGCATAAGTTTTTGCAGCATCATTCAATTGTTTTTGCTTATATTCCCTGAAAATCTGGCTCGACGTTTCCTCGAAACCATTTGCGATTCACATGGAATATATACATCAAAATGCCCTCCTGATAAATTTCCTGAAAACTTCAACCTTATAACCGGATTGTCATTATTGCCATGTTTAACATGAAGTTCTCCATTGTAGTAAACCTCTATACATATTGGATATAATTGTGTAGTAGCAACCAGTTCACAAAAACTATCATATGTACCCGTTAGTGACAACTCGCTAACGTAATTCGAAATACTGGGATAGTTATCTCCATCAGGATTGTGTGTCATTATTTTCAATTCTTCCCAATTATCTACCACATGTCTAACAATTTCCTCACGAATTTCTGTTGCAAATATTTGGCAATCATACAAAATGTAGGATATGGACCCAAAAAGACATGCACCATCTTTATTAATAGAAACAATACTATGGGCCAATTTAACTCCACTTATATATATAACTTTTCTTTCCATTTTCACAATTAATACGCTAAGATAAAATAATAAGGGAAACTACTATAGTCGACAGTAAAAAATTGTATATACTCGAAATGTAAAAGACCATCAGTAGTGTAGGAAAATTTAAGACCATCAGTTAGTTTTAAGTTTGAAAATATACTGTATGCAATTTCAGAATGCAAACATGTTTATGCTGAAAAAATTTTTAACACGTTTCCCTATTATTTTGCATATCCTACATTTTAAAAAAAAATAAATTAAAACGCGAAAATTGTTTGTTTATGTAAAGTGTAAAATTTTAATGATTTTTACAATAATCTTAATATTTAATGCTCGTAATAATTTATCATACATTTAAAAAATTTAATTTTACAATGAAGAGTATTATATAGCACCCAATACTAAACAAACCTTACCAACATAGAATATATTTCTGTAATTTCAGCCCTCTAGCTGATCCCGTTCACTCTATCGTAATTTCAACAGACAAACACACAGACATTTGGATGGACATGGCTGGATAATCTTAATATTTAATACTGAGAAAAATATTTCATACTAATTTTAGATACTCTTGTTATCATTTATATCTGAAACAAATTAACATTAATTTATTAATGTTACGAACGGAATGACATGATGGTGTGGAGGGTATGAAAAAACAGAAAAGAATTTTTATTGCTTTTGATTATTTGTATGATCATTTGCTTAGCGTAATAAAAAGTTCAGACATACTCGTAATAAACGGAAAATATTTCTTCTTGATTTTGATTATTTGTATGATCATTTGGTTAGCGTAATAAAAGATTCTACTCGGATTTTAAACTATAATAATTGTGTCAAAATCAAATTTTTTGTTGTGATTTTGTAATTTTATACTCTATTGTGATATCAACAGACAGGCAAAGAGACTGATGGACAGACAGTCGGACATGGCTAAAAAATATTAATATTTAATGCTCGTTTTTATTAAGCTAAGAAAAATATTTTATACTAATTTTAGATACTCTTGTTATCCCTTTATAGCTATCGTGATTTCAACAGACATACAGACAGACGGACATGGCTAGATAATCCTAATATTTAATACTCATAATAATTAAGCTAAGGAAAATATTTTATACTAATTTAAGATACTCTTATATGTTTTTAAATGTTTTTTTTGCTTTTGATTAATTATATGATTATTTGTTTAGCGT